GAGGTGGCTCTGGCCATACGGAAGCTCCCTCGGGCTCCCACAACTGCGAGCTCCCTCACGTCATCCGTGATGGGATTCCTGGAGAACACGCTGATGGAGCTGCCGTTGAATTCTCCCTCCGTGAAACCGAAGTCAAAGAAGGCGGTCAAAGTGGGTAGATCTCGTCCGGACGACACGTACATCCCCATGGCGTTTCCGATGCGTTGGGAGGAAGGGTGGGGACCAGTGGTCAGAGGGTCGTCCAGCGCGAAGAGGGTCCCGAACGGCGTCGGAGAATCGCTGGCTGTCTGGTTTTGGGGCTTCGCGATTAGAACGGCGGTCGCGTTTGGGGATGAGAGTTTGTCATGGAAGAAGAAATGGAGTTTCGTCACTACTTCTTCTTGCTTTCTTCTGTACGGTTTCGTCTTCGAGTGATAACTTCTTCTTCCACCACCACTTGCCATGGCGGCGCTGATACACATACTTAGCCCCAACAGTACGATGATTCTCTTGTCCATTCTCCTATTTTTTTTTTCTTTAGTTAATATATTATATTCCTACCTGCACTCACACATATATATATATATACACACACATTTCAAATACACTCATCCTGTCTCTATAAAGGTGAAGATCAGATACACTTTGTACGTAGAGGTGTATAGAGAGAAAATTTATGTCTTACCTTCAAATGAAATGAATGAGGGAGATTGCATTATTGATTATAGAGAGAGAGGAGCATATATTCATTCATAATCGAGATTTTATTCCTTGTATCTGTGAATAGGTTCATTCGGATATTACTACCTCTCGATTTTGTAGTGTGTATATCTTTAAACAAATATGGTAGTCCTCATAAATATAAGATTATTTACAATAATTACTTTTTTTTTTTGTTTTACATTCATTCATTGGCCAATCTTTTATCAGAGGAAATATTTAAATAACCCAAAAGCTTGTAAAGTGTGATGGGAGAATTGATGATGCAATGGGACGGACAATCTATTTATAAGTCTCGTCCGGTTCATACACGGATCCGACGAGACAGAACAGTGCCCGTGTGGACGGCGTGGAGGGGAGCTGAGTGTCCGGGCGGCCGTCGGTCTAAGGTTTCCCGCCGGAGGAAATTCCTCCGACATGAAGAAGCCTCGGTCGAGTGACTTTTTTTTAAAACAAAATTGATAAATAGAGGCTTGTTTCAACAAAAATCAGACGAGAACGTTAAACAAGTTTTAGGACAATAAAAGGGGCAGAGACCCTAAAATGCAAGTGTGTCCAAACCCACTATTCAACAAATGACTCAAAACCCAGAAGAGAGAGTAAAGGAAGAGCCTACCAAAATTTTCTAAAAGAGGACAAGTTCTAACACCAAGTACCAACCAACATTTAACACTCAGAAAAATAAAGCTCCTGTCTTTAGTCTGTCTCTTGCTTTGTCTCGTCTGCAGCAGCCGTTGGCTCCTCCTCCTCCGGCTCTTCCTGTGCAGCTGCTGCCTCCTCAGAATTCACCACGCTACAATTCCCACAGAAAAACGAATCTCCATAAGATCACAACAGTCGTGGGACTTCATATATACATCGACAAGAATGCCAAATCAACTCTTTAAACAGAGATATGTTTGCAACAAGTTAAAAGCTGACGCATCCCAAAAGTGATGATGAAGTCCACCAACTTATAGGCTACACACTATGATCAATAAAGTGGGAAGTATACATATAAATCCAATAATCTCAAATATCAGAAATAGAGCTTCAACTGCTACAAAACACCCATGAAAAGATCTGTTTAGAACATCAACAAGCAGGGCAGAGATGTTCTGCAAGTACAATGATCTTTACAGCAGCGAACAGGGCACTTCAAACGGCAATGCAGATTGCAGACCATGACCCAATTGCATAATCAAAGCACTCTCCCTCAATACCATGGTTAACAAATTTATAAACCCATGCCCACCATCTTCTCATTCCTGATTTCTATCAGTAACACGATACAACCGATACTGTATAATTCCCCGACCAAAAAAGCTGATCAAACCTCTAATTCTAAGCACCATTCATTACGATAGAGATCAAACTAATGCCATAGATGTCGGAAAACAGTCAAGCAAGAAAAGAATCAATTAAAAAGACTGACCTTTTCCTCCAACTTCTCTCGGTACGGGCGTCCTGAAGCCCATTGCCAATATCAAAGCCCCTTCTTCCGACCGGCCCTTCGCCGGGCTTCTCGGCGGCAACGTCCTTCAACTTCACGGCCTCAAGCTTCTCATCGATCTCTTTCCAGTCTTTGCCCTTCTCCGCGAGAACCTCTTCTCTAGGTCTGGCGTTCCCAAAAGGATTGCCCCCCTTGGGTTTCTCTACAGTTACAGGGTCGTCAGGCTTTCCGTTCGTGACCGGCAGCGAACGGGGCTGCAACACCAGCCTCGGCCGTGAACCGCCGGTCTCCTCTCTCTTCCTTCCCCAGCTGTCCGCATCGGACTCCCTGTTCCTCGACAACGAATCAAAACTTCCTCTACTCTCGAACCTGTTGCCACCGTTGCTAGAACCGAATCTCCGGGGCTCCGAGGGCTTACTCGTCACCCAGCTGTCGGCTTCGTCAGCCTTCGACTGAGATTCGAAGAATCCCCCTCTCTCTCTCCTCTCGAATCCGTTACCAATCGGTTTCTTCGCGGCGGCCCAGTTGTCGGTTTCATCAGCACGCGATGGAGCGAAATCCCTGCTTGATTCCTTGTTAAACCCGCCGCCTCTCCTCCCTCCTTCTTCAGAAACCCTAGATCCCCACCTCGAGTTCGACGACTCATCCCCGTAACGACTACCAGATCCGTAGCTCCTGAAGCCGCCTCCAAGCTTAGATCTGTCGAGCTCCTCGGCGGAGCGCTCCCGCGGACCAGTCGGAAGGGATATGAGCTCGTCGGGCGTGAGACGCTCGGCCTGCGGCGAAGGCGCCGCCGCCTTAGCAGAGCCAAAGGCGTTGAATTCAGCCAGAGATATGGTCTGTCCCTTCTTCTTCTTAGTCTTGGTGGCGGCGGCGGCGGCGGCGGTGGCGAGGGAGGGAAAATCGGCGGAATCATCGGCGGCGGAGCCCTGCTTAAGAGGCGGCGCTTGTTGCTGGAGCTCGGCTTCGTGTTCCTCTGCTTCAAGGGCCCAGGAGCCGGGCTTTCCCCAAGCGGATGATACTACGGCCGCCATGGTAGGTTTCTCCGTTGTCTTCTGTTTCTCTCGCCAAAGTCTAGAAAGGAATGGCTGTCAAGCAATGCGTGAGTCCCAAGCGGAGCGGAGAGGCAACACCTATATAGGGGGGGCGATATGAGTATTCTGATCGGACGGTTTGAAACCTATCAGGTAATTTAAGAATAGACGGTCCAGATCGATTTCCTTTTCTGAGATGGAATTAGACACAAAACACAATGTTTGTTTAGGGATTCCACGTTTTCAAAGAAAATAAAAATCGCAACTGAACAAAGTGATCACAGACCCCATGCTAGAAAATAAAGAATAGAATACATGGAAAATCTTATCGTTTCTAAAAAAACCACGTATTTACTGCTGCTAATTCATAATGACCCAAGTCTTCAATTGGGCCTACATATGATATCTTGTGCACTCAGGCCCATATTCGTGTAATGTTAATATTGTTCAAAACATATAATAAAGTTGTGGGAATACAACTTTCGGGTTTCCGTTTTGACGACTTCGATTTGTAGATAGTTTATCCAGTTCAATAATAATAATAATAATAATAATAATAAAGTATATCAGAATACATGGGTTTGATTCGGATTTTGAGTCAATTCGATGAAAACCAGATATAATTATATATGATTTATCGAATTTAATTTGGTATTTTATTGGATTCAATTCTACAAAAAGTGTACTGGAACATAATATTATTTAGTTCGGCCGGTTCCAACTCAATTTCGGATCAGAGTGAAATTAATGAACCAGAGTCCAGACACACCCACCTCCAGTGTAGGGTATAAAAGTTCGGAGCCCACTCGCTTTGATTCAAGTATTTCTCGACCCCTTTAAAAACCGAACCAAGAAATTAAAAAAAAAAAAACCGTCTACTTCACAAGGCCGAAACCAGATCATGTTCCAGTGTAGGAAGAGAGAACTTGTGATAGTCTAAACTGCTACACGTGCTGCAAAAAAAGATTCCAGCCATAACCCCCTAATTTCGCACGCTGCTGTTTTTCAAAATGCAAACCTGAGTTAAGGTGTGGTCGCAGAAGCTGATTCAGTTTTTCTTCTTTGATTTCCCGGAGGTCGACTTGGCAAGAGGCGTTCCCTATACCACAATGGAATGAGCTTCTTAAGCACTTTCCTGGCTGGATTGAGTTAACCAAATATAAGATGGATTTAACACACAAACCTCGAGCCATTCGTCCAGCGACGCATCCACACTCCTCGTTCCTACTTCGACCTTTGCCACCTTTTTCGTTTTCTGGTACACGGAGATCCAAGAGATCACATTAAGCAAAGTGGCAGTCTCAATCTAATAAATTGGCCTTGGGCAAGAGTTCATCCCGTCAAATGTGCCCATATATGCCTATATTCCCCTAGAAACATATGTCTCCAGGCTTCCAAAATGTGATTATTATGCAGTTAGTTTCGATCCTACTAAATCCAGATCCTACATAGATGTATGGGAAACCGTACCTTGGTGAGACGCTCTACTTGGCTATAGACCCACAAGCCCACGAGGAGAAGTAGAGCAATGCCGAGGGTGACAAGGAAGACAGACTCGCCGCTGAGGAGACCACCGGATTCAACAACCTCGATTGTGCCATTGTAGAAGACACTCTGGTAAGGCTGTTCATCTACCTCGTAGATAATGGTTCCGACAAGATCAAAAGTTCCAGGCTGCATGTGGATAACACAACAACCATTTAAGTTCAGACTCTGATGTTATCCCTGTTCTGGAGTTTTTTTTTTTTTTAAATTTCCAGAATGAATGCGAAAAATAAAACACGAGTCATGTGACATATATACACCTGAAGAAACTTGCTGACTGCAAAGATGTATGGGAAAGTAGCCTGAACAGATGTAGGGATGGATGCATTGTTGAAGCTCTGCAAATGCAAAACAATAACAGGGATTCTCAATAGAACGCAACAGCAACAGTGTTTACCCATAAATACATCTGGTCAAAGTACACCTAAGAAACTCATCAGTTGAACCTTTATGCAAAACAGTAAAAAAAATAAGCTGTACTCAAATGACTGATAAACCAAATGCGGTTGATGTAAGCTAGAGATCTCTTTTTCTAGTGCCTAAGCCTTTGGTCCACATATGGTATAAATCAACTGAACACATTGAGGAGAATCGAGCAATCTAATTCTTATTTCTTTGGTAAAAGAGTGGTGCGGGGGAGAACTTGCCAGCATGGTTAGATTCTGAACCAGTAATTGGTGATCAAAAGGAAGATGGAGGCTGGCCTTGATTCCAACAACACCAACACTTGAATGCCCTATTATTTGAACCAACAGGTAAGAGTATGATTTTTCCGACCAAAAGAGGATCTAAATGCATGCCAGTAAACAGCTAAGATGGATTTAATTTACCATCGTTTTTCAGACCAACAAGAAGTTCAGTCTCTTCTCCAGCTGGAACCACTGCAAACAAAAAAAATCAAACAAAACATCCAAAATCCCCATGCTCACTAAAAAGAGTAATTAAACAAAGCTTCCACAAACATGTGGAAAATGTGTAAATCCTAACATTTTGCACTGTTTTTCGGGAAGATACAAACTGTTGCAATTCCTGGAGCTGAGCTCAAGGCCACGTCAGAAACGTCCTGCTCGTAATCCCCAACAACCCCAACTTCACCGACTTCTTCGACATCATCTTCGACAGTGTTGGCTGGATCATCGGAGCTCGATTGGCATCTAGCAACTGATAGGACAGAGAATACAACTCATCATTCATGATAACTTTACTAATCCAACAAAGATGATGCAAAACAAGCCGTTCATTAGTAGATATCTAAAACCGCTAGTTAAAAGATATTTGAAGCACTTTGGAGGAATCAAAGAACAGAATGATGCCCAAAGCAAATCACCCAACACATAGCCATCTGTCTCTCTGTCGGGCTTCGGATAATGTCGTGTTTCCTGAACTCTTCAGACAACGATATCCCAGCATGAGGAGGAGCTTTCACCTCCAAATGTGGTTGATAAGCACATTGAAAAGGATATAAAAATAAGTCCAACAATTCCAACCTTCTACGTTTCTCTCCAAACGAAGACGAACGCCGAACACAGTTCAAGAACGAAATTAAAACACGAAGACAAGTCGCAATTGGCGAATCTATTAACTACTCAATTTGACGAATCTATAAGATCTACAGACAAGTGACGCAGGATATAAAAGCAGGAAAGCAATCGAAGAGTTGTCTATTTCGAAACCATAATGGTTGACGACGCCACACTCACGCGAATTAACGACATATACCATCCCATAGAAAGAATCGCCAGCGAACTCAATGTCAACGCAACCGATCAGACCATTCTCAAAACAAGATCAGGCTCAAAGAGCAAACATGCAAGCGTCTCCGAGATCACAAACAAGGATAAGACCAGGAAACAATCGACATTGCAGAAGAATAGACGGATCTAGATCTAGATTGCGGGGAAAAAAGCAACAAACCTTGAAGAAAGGGAGACGAAAGGAGAAGAAGAGCGAGGAGCAAAACCCTAAGAGAGGTCATTGACGTAGCGGTCGCGTAGGGGGAGCTCGAGCTTCGGTTTCTGGTCAATTGAATGAAATATGCGAAGGAGACAAAAAAACTCTCGGAGGGGTATTTGTGTTGAGAGAACTCTTCTTCGGCTACAAACAGAATAACGCATAAAATAAAAGCTGGCAAAAATTGAAAATCGCGGATCGGAAAAATAAAAGACAAATTACCAAAAGAGTCGCACACAGAACACGTGGTGTTCTGTGTTCCGAAACGGCAGCGTTTTTCTTCTTCTTCTTTATTTTTTTGTATAATCTCCGGATAGTATTTGTTATATCTAATTTACGTACCAAATATTTGACCAACCCATATTTATGAAAGTATATCTCTATTTTATCCCTTTCTATCTGTCCTTATATATAGATATATATAAGAAGCAAACTCATAAAATTGGACATGCTTAAGAGGTATTTCTGTTACTAAAATCACACGATCGAATACATTTTTTTTTTCTTCAGCTAAACAAAACTAACATCGGCGCTTTATTACTAAAGCCATCAAGGTCACGATAATTTTATAAAAGAATAATGGAGAAAACCTAGAGGGGAAAATTCGCAATTAAAGAAATAAAGAAAGAGAGGAGTGGTAGAAGGCAGGTTGGGAAGTGGGGGTTGACAAAACTCAAACAAAAAAATACAAAAACTCCAACAAGTAGCCGACGACCCCCAAGACAGAGAGGGCTTTAGCCCCGCATCAGATCTTATTCGAGATTCACAAGTAGTGACGAGTTTGATCACGCATAAGCCTCAATCGAAGACAGCACTTCTTGTCTATTCCGAAAAAAATAGAGGTAAAAGGCAGCGGCAGCTTTTTATGTGAAATACAACAACAACAACAACAACAACAAACAGAGTCTCAAACCTCCGTTCTCTACGTTCGTTTCATTCAGACCTCTTCCTTCCATATGGCAAAACGAGTTTTTCCTCTCCGCGACAGATCAAGCCGCCACTTTCTTCGACGTGACCGAGTTCACTATCGTCGCAAACTCCGGACCCTGCTTACACACGGTTCAAATGAAATTACAGCTAAGAATTATAGAGCCTTGCATTGCTTTTATGCGACCAACCCCAGATAAAATCTTGCAACTAACTTGTAGGTTTTCAGTTACAGTTTTCATCATAATGCATCATGCTTTTACCTGCATAAGCTGAAAATTTTCATCATTCTACCCTAGCATTTGATAGCAACATACCCACTTGCATTCTTATACTTCAGAGCAATCCCGAAAAAAGAAATCATGTCACGGCTTAAGCTTACTTTCAAGGAGGCACCGCCAACGAGAAATCCATCAATATCTTCCTGCTTGGCAAGCTCATTACAATTGCTTCCATTCGCAGAACCTGTAGATCAGTTAATGCGGCCGAAAGCTGCAAAACTGAGTGCCCTGATATTGAAAAAATGGAATAGAAAAAGTTTGGCAAGTGTAGAGAGTAAAGCACCTCCATATATGATCCTTGTTTCAGAAGCAACTTTTTCAGAGACGTTCTTCTTGAGCCAATCCCGGACAGCCACATGAACCTCCTGCGCTTGCTGAGGCGTCGCCACCTTGCCGGTTCCGATAGCCCAAACAGGCTCATAAGCAACAACTACGTTATCCCAGCTTGGTACAGCATCTGAAATGCCGACGTGAAAATCAGTGTTAAAATGCATTTGCCGATTTAAGGCAGTGTTAGGAAAAGTTCGGCCAGAGGGAACCAGCATTATAGAATCAAGGAGTATAGCCCCATCATTTTGAACAACTAAGAAAAGTATCAGAGTATTTTTTTATTTTTAAATACAGGAGCAGTTGTGGTTGGTTTCAAATGAAAATGATCATAACCCATTTTAGCGCATAGTCATGTAAATGCAAATGATTGACATCAAATGCTATTATGCTAGGCAACTTAGCTGATAATGGCTAGCTTATACTCATGCCGAATCAAATCGAGAGACTCTTTAGAAGATAAAAGAAGCTTAAAAGATTATACCAGCAAAAGCTTTCATTTGCTCAAAGCAAACATCGAAAGTCTTGCCCGCTTCCCTCTCTTCTAGCTTTTCCCCAATACAAGCAATCACTCCCAGACCCTCGCTCAAAGCATAAGCAGCTTTCTTCCCGATAAACTATAGATTGGTTGAAATAAAGCATTATAATCTTCAGAAGCTTTTTCTCAATGACAACTTAGCTTAGTTCAAGGCTATTTTTTTAACTCACCTCGTCATTTTCTCCAATGACATGTCTGCGCTCAGAATGTCCGAGAATGACCCATCTGCAGCCTATATCTTTCAGCTGTTCCACACTGTTTGGTGAAAACACACAACTTTAAGAATCGAAAACAAGTGCAGAAAACAAAATAAAGATAGACTGCATCGAGAAGGTTTAAATACTCTAAATGGTAAAGAATGAGCGATGGACATGATTTTTCAGGCCAAAACGACATGTTTACGGTAAATTTTTTTATGTCACAGTGCAGAAACATAAACATCTGAGTGAATAAGAGATTTCAACCTGATTTCACCGGTAAAAGCTCCACCTTTTCCAACCCATGAGTTTTGAGCTGAGATCTCAATGCGGTCTGTCAGTGAAGATTTGACCTGGTCGATGTAAACAAACGGAGGTGCCACAACCACATCTACCAACATAGACAAGGACAAGGGCGACACAGAACAGAAGGTATTAGTTAGGATTTGAGAACAGAATTACAATAGAAAATCAAATGAGTTATTTGGTACCAAAAAAAGAACAGAGTTTCAAGAATCAGGGAAAAGGATGAACAATCTGGCCCTGATCAGCATCATTGCCGATGGATTAGCAGACAGTGCCGCAAGAATATATTACAAAATATCGGTGATAGGCAATGGATATGAGAAAAATCTAGCATCTCACCTACATCGGTTTCCAAGGTCGCATTGTTCAGGTCGGTGACAAGCTTGGTAATGGAGTCTTTTGTCCCGTTCTAAACACGCAATGTACAGGAAATTTAAACACGATAAAAACGAGAAATGGACGAAGAAAGGTTTTTACTTTTAGAAAAGGAAGAAGAAAACAAGAGGCGAGCTAAAAAATACTTACGCATTTCCAGTTTCCTCCAACGAAAAACTGCAGAAAACGAGAGAGACAGAGAAAAGGAGTTCAAACAAAGAGATATCAGTCATCCAGACCCGCCAGAAGCAAAATTTGAACTAATGCTCGAAAAAGAAGATTTTGGAAAGTCCAACGTGAATCTAACACTCAAGACAATTAGGGTTTAATCCTTTTGACAAGTCGAAAATTCACAGAAAATATTTTGCAGAATCGTCAGTTTTTCAGATTTCACAGAAGGAGGATGGAGGAACGCACCTTTCCAGAGCCGGCCATGGCCACGACGCCTCTCGGAGGCCGGCGAGAAGATGAAGAGGCGAGACGGACCGAGGAATTGAGGCGGTGGACAAAGGAGACGGCAGCGTCGGGACGGCGGAGGGCAGAGGGAAGAGTGCCGCCGGAGATTCTGGTGACGCAAGAAGAGGAAACCACCGCCATTGCCGAGAGAAAGTGAAGGAGGGTCGGTGAGTGAAGTTTGGATTGTTCCAGGGAGAAGTGATGGCGACCAGACTGTGATCGTAAGCGAAAGGAAAAGATATTGTATATGACGATGAGGTCAATTGTTGGCGAGGGGCATATATGTAATACTACAACTCACCAACCCACCCACAGCCACGCGCTTTTCAGAGAGCGTGGCCCTCACCGCTGCCATTAAGTAGGAAAACGTAACGTGGAAAACGAGCTCAACCTAACCTTTCTTCTTGCCGTTTCGGTTCATACATATTCTCAAATCGGGCTGTTAAATCATTTTTAATAAATTCAAGAGATTATTATGACTTGGTTCTCTCATTTTAGGATCCCATATTCTATGTTCCAACTCTCGTTATAGGATAAAGATGAAGATTTCAATCCATCACTTGCTCTGTAAAAAAAAGAAGAAAAGGCTTCTTACTATACACTTGAACTGGATCCCCTCCTACCGTTTATATTCCATAAATGGTATGTCTTGACAGTAAGACTCAGTGGTTTAGACCAAAACCACACTAGCAATGTCCCGGCTCGGTTCCTACTCGTATTATGAAACCCAATCCAAATCGAGATTTGTCATCACTTCTTTTAGGCTTCTGCACCGTCAGGATTTTGTCCACCAGCTACGCTACCGGATGAACTGTCTCGCCCGCTAGGGCACGATGAACATTTGCTAGATGACGAGCTTTCTTCTCTCGTGCTGCAGTTTCTCTTGCCATTTCTTTTCGTCTTTCTCTGCTTTGTCGAATCCTGCAAAAAAGAAAAGTTTGTCAGTTCCCAGTTTAGTAATAAACTGAAGATATATCTGAAACGTACAAGCAGCTAGATGTCAGTAGAAGCTCTTGCCTCTGCTTTGATTGTTCAGTTCAGTATTTATTAGTTCTCACCTTATCAGAGGTAGAACCAGGAGTCTTTAACTCAAGTTCAGTTGCGACGTCATTAGAATCCTCAGCGTTCTTGGCTTTGCTCTCTCTCGACAGATTGGTTCCACCTTCCCGTGATGAGTTCACTGCCTGCGGGTTTTGTGGTACATGCACTGACTGCTGTTCAACCACCGTGTTCGGGGGCATATACGGCATGTAGGTGGGGCAGGGCGCCGGGATAACACCAGGGTTCTGGTTTCCAAAGAATGTGTATGGCTGCATCGATGGATGCAGCGGAATTGAGCCGGGAGGCATAGCCATAGGCATTGGATATGGAAAGGATGGCGGTGGTGGGGCCATCATGACGGTGTGGTCCATCGCAGCTGCCCAAGGGCTCATTGCCCTTAGCCTCTGCTGGTACTGGATGTTGAGATTCTCTATATCTGACTTCAGTGACGCCTTCTCTTCTCTCAGGTCATTTTTCTCCTGTGTCAACTATAAAAGCACCTATTTTTATACAGAATACCAGTAAATAGAAGCATAGGCAGTCATTGAGCCCGTTGTCCACATAGGTATCCAGATGTACCTCAGGGTTTCATCATGCCTCACCATTTAGGGATTATAAATCATTATCAGATCCCATATCTAGATAAGTTATGAGATCGGACTCTACATACATGTACATTGCCTTAAAATCTGAATATCCTGGAATTGGAGATTGGTACATAATATCAGTCTTAACAACTTGAGTTTCATAGAACTAGAGATTCGCACACAGTAACATTTTTACTATTGCATTCAAACTACGTGATTAAATCTGCATCCTTATGTCTACTTCATGACCATGTGGACTGTTGATTTTCCGAACAGGGGAATCCAAAAATGCAAGGATAGATATACCTCACGGGACTCCTCGGTCAATGCAGTGTATTCAGATTTGAGCTTGTTGACTTCTGATGTAAGCTCCTTCAACAACTGAATCGTATCTGTCAGAATTGTGCCTTTGTCATTTTTGGGTCTGTCTGGATCTGTAAATAGAAGAGAAGGTAAGAAATAAGAATCTAACCAAATTGAAAAGATATTAATCCCTAGACAAGGGTTGGAATGTACCAAGTACATTTCCCAGTTGAACGAAATGCTCATTCAGTTTTTCCCTCCTCAACTTCTCCCTGTCAGCCTTCTGCATCTTTCTCGCGACAACCGAGTCCATGGATTCTTCTGGTTTTGAGCTGCAAAAACAGGAAACAAACTCAGAGCATGATAGCAAGGTTCCAACCTTATATACGCCTCTGTGTCATCTCAACTCGCATCTGAATCTCTAAGCATCTGGTATAACCAGAAGAAAAGACTATATCTCCTCAAGCCAATAGTCGATTTTCTCACATACTACGAGCTCACATACGAGACAACGACGGCATCCCTAGAAACCGGTTCGACCAGAAGACACCTAACTCATTCCAAGTTCAGTTCCTACAACACATGATCTATTGGTTGTAAGCTATGCACCACAAAAACAAGGACTTCTTTCTTTGGTTTAAAGTCTTAGGAAGAATAAAATGAAACTAATCTTAAACTGCAAAGCACACCCACAACCATAAAAAAAAAAAAAAAAAAAAAAAAATTTTC